CTTGGGGCGGAAGGCACGAATTGTAAGTTCGTGTTCGCCCTCTTGGACCCCTCTTGGGAGCGTTGGGGGGCCCTCTTGGGCGGTCTTGGGCGCCTCTTGAACTGTTTTGGGGCCCTCTTGGAACGTCTTGGGGGCCTCTTGGGCTTTCTTGGGGCGGTCTTGGGGGCCTCTGAGGCCACCTTGGAGCGTCGGAAGCCCGAAAACGCGAGAACGCAGAAAACATTGAAAAACAAAAGGAAATATATCATACAAGATCTATACATATACACACACACACACACACACACACACACACACACACACGCATACACACACACACACACACGAGTCGTGCCTCCTTGGGCCCTCTTCGGGGTCCTCTTGGAACGCTCTTGGGGCTTCTTTGGGACCTCTTGGGCCGTCTTGGGGCCATCTTGGGCGCCTTCGAGTGTTCTTGGAGCGTTTGGGGGCTGCCTTGGAGGCCTCTTGGAGGTCTCTTGGGCGCTGTTTCCCAACACTCCCTTGGTTGGGCTCTCGTTTTGACTAGAGCAGTGGGGTCTCCACCTCCTCCTTCTCGCCCCCCCCCGCTCTCTTCTCGGCTCTCTCCTCTCGCCTCCTTCTTGGGGGCCGCGAAATGCGAAGTTGGCGCCCCTTTCGAGGGCTGCTGGGGGAGCCCGCACAGTGGGGCCACACGAAGATCCTAACGGGACCTCGCCATCCCTGGCGGGCTGTGAAAGTGTGAAAGTGCCGCCCTTTTTCGAGGGCTGCTGGAGGAGCCCGCACAGTGGGGCCACACGCAGATCCTAACGGGACCTCGCCATCCCTGGCCGGCTGTGAAATGTGAAAGTGTCGGCACTTTCGAGGGCTGGTGGGAGAGCCCGCACAGTGGGGTGTCACGCAGATCCTAACGGGACCTCGCCATCCCTGGGGGGCTGTGAAGTGTGAAAGTGTCGCCCCTTTTCGAGGGCTGCTGGAGGAGCCCGCACAGTGGGGCCACACGCAGATCCTAACGGGACCTCGCCATCCCTGGAGGGTTGTGAAATTGTGAAAGTGTCGCCACTTTTTGAGGGCTGCTGGGGGAGCCAGCACAGTGGGGCCACACGCGGATCCTAACGGGACCTCGCCATCCCTGGCGGGCTGTGAAATGTGAAAGTGTCGCCCCTTTTTGAGGGCTGTTGGGGGAGCCCGCACAGCGGGGCCACACGCAGATCCTAACGGGACCTCGCCATCCCTGGCGGGTTGTGAAGTGTGAAACTGTCGGCACTTTCCAGGGCTGGTGGGAGAGCCCGCACAGTGGGGTGCCACGCAGATCCTAACGGGACTTCGCCATCCCTCGGGCGCTGCGACGTGTGAAATTGTCGTCCCTTTCGAGGGCTGCGGGGGGGGGGGCAGTACAGTGGGGTCCCCAGGTGGGATCGAATTAGATGGATGATTGGATGATTGGGTTTTTATCATTGAACACAGTAGGCCTCCCAGGTGGGGTCGGAGCAGATGGGGTCGAATGATCGCTCCGCATCCGCAGATGCAGCGCCGATGCATCGGCGGTGCGATTCGCTGTGGAGCCCGATCTTCTCTACGCCGACGTGGCCATCGCCGACGTTGCCGATGCAACCTCCGAGCCCATCTGCTCGGACCCCATGCAGGAGGCCTCGAAATCAAGACGCTGCAACAAGAACCATTTTGGGCTCCCGAGGGGCTCTGGATTGCGGGCCGGTCCTCAGGTCTGGGTCGCGAAGCTTCTCCGTTCCCTGTTCGTCGGCGCTCGTTCGGGAAGCACCGATGGTTGGTTGTACGATTCCCAGCCGGGGCTGGTCCCGAATTCGCAGGGATCGGTCAGGAGAGGCCAGGTCCATACGGAGAAATTCCATGCGGAGTGCTCCGCTTCCGTCTGGGTTCATTCCGTCTGGACTTACATTTTTGGATCGTATGCTAAGTCCATACGGAGAAAGTCCATACGGAATGCTCAGACTCCGTCTGGGCTTGCTCTGTCTGGACTTCGCCTCTCCTGATGTGGGCCAGCTAGCCCAGGGATTGGCCCCAGTGTCTTAGGACCCCCCCCTGCGCAAGGCGTACCTCCGAATGGCCCACCAGGAACTCCGCCAGCAGCCAGGAGGCTCACAAACGCCTCTTGTCACCATTACCAATCGGCCAGCCTTCGAGAGACACCCTCGCCAGTTGGTCCCAAATTCGCCGGGACTGGTGCCGGCTAGCCCCGGTATCGGCCCCAATGTCTCGGGATCCGCCCCCGCGCAAGGCAGCCTTCGCGCAGCGCGAGCAGGAGCGCCCGCGGCCTGCGCCCTTCCGCGCTGCCGCCCCCGCCGCAACCGCCACCGCCGATCGCTGGGCTTCGCCGTCGGTCGACGCCGGCGTTCTCGCCTGTGTCTTCCCGCTCGTCGGCGTCGCTCCTCCCTCCCCCTCTTCCTCCTCCTCCTCCTCCACCACCTCCTCCTCCTCCTCCTCCTGCTTCTGCTCCTTCTCCTCCTCCTCCTCCTCCTCCTCCTCCTCCTCCTCCTCCGCCGCCGCCGTCGGTCGACGCCGCCGGCGACGGATGGCTTTCTGTAATTGTTCGACTGCCGGGGGCCCCCACCAGGCCCCTAGGGCTGTCAAAGAACGGCTCGGGAGGAAACGGGTCCTGGGGAAAGGGTCCAGGCCTTTGGGGAGCCACGCTGTGGGAAACGTCACGACTTCGGATGTCTGGGATCAGCATCGTCAGTTTCATAGGTGTCACTTGGAACAGAAATCAGTTCTTCAAGTTTGCAACCCGTGGTCCGTGTTGGCTCTCTCTCTCTCTCTTTTCTCGCTCTGTCTCTTTGTTTTCCTCTCCCTCGCTCTCTCTCCCTCTCTCTCTCTCTCTACATATATGTATATATATGTATATGCACACATGTATGCACTTGATGTTAGTTAGTTTGCGTCGGAAACACATTCAGAAAAGTATTCGAGGTGCCCTTGCGGAAGTTGGGTTGACGGTTTACCGTCAGCTCAGGTTCGGAGGTCTCTGGGCGTCTCTGGAGGTTCTCGTCGCCGCGGCGGGGCATGGCCCAGGAAGGGAGTAGGGGTCCGAATTTGAACGGATGTTGGTCGTCGTCGGAGCCGTCGTCGGCATTGGCGTCGCCACCTTCCGTCATGCATCGCCTTCATCGCCGCCGCCGTTGTCGTCGTAGTCGTTGTTCGTTGTCGTCCTGTCTGCTCCAGGCAACCCTAGGTAAGTTTTGTCCACCGAGCTGAGGCGGCAGTGGCACAGAAGGGTGAAGGTAGATTTGCATAAATATATCTCTATGTATATATATATATATTCATAAAGGGAGATGGAGAGAGAGAAAGAGAGAGACAGGCGAGGGTGAGCAGTACTTACAGTCAAGATGAAACAAGGATGATTTGGGGTTCAGGAGAGACCCTGGCTTCCGGGCAGTACCTTGATCTGAGTTGGGGGGCCCATTCGAGGCCGCTCGACGTTGCCAGAAAAGCCTTTCGTACTTGATTCAGCGTTCCCCAGGGTAGCGCGACGGCTGCATCGTGGCGACGTCGATGACGACAGACACCATGATGATCGTTGCGATGCTGGTGACAACGATGACGATGACGACGACAAGGCTAATGACGCCGCCGATGCTGATCACGCCGATGACGATGATGGTGTCCACGCGTCGGTGATGGAGGTTGTGGAAGGATTTCGACATGCGCGCGCGGCCGACGGGCGCAAGTGGCCCGCATGGCATGATTTGACAGGAATCCTGGGAGGGTTGCGCGCAAGGGCTTTCTAATGATTCCGACATGCGCGCGCGATAGGCCCGTTTTGGCTGCAGCTGATGAAAATGTTGAGAACCGATGTTTGCTTGGTTTTAGAATTAGCAAAAACGCGCGCGCAGGCCCTCTTGTGAAAAATATGGCTGCCAAACCATATGTTGCGTATAAATTCGAGACATTCGTTCTTGAATTCTTTACGAAGCCTACGGTTGTTGAAGGATTTCGGCGTGCGCGCGTGACAACGCGCACGTGTGCATGTTGTCATCTTGTTTGCAAAGGTCTCATGCAAATTGATGTATGGCATTTTTCCTGCCAGCGATGAAGGGGGGTCGATACCGGCTTGGCTGGGGAACTTCTATTCATAATGAACGATGGGGCAGAAGCATATCTAAATTGCACATCCCCAGGGGGGTCGACGGCCTGGGGGTGGGGTAGACCCTAATTCGTTTTTACACATGGGAGTCAATGTGGTGCAGTCTATGTGATGCAACTATGTGAGGCCACAACGAGGCGGCGACGGGGCGGCGACGGTGGCAAAATGGCCACCAGACCGCAACACAACCCCAGACGACGGGAGGCGACGAGTCGGCGACGGCGGCTACATAGCCGCCAGAACGACAGACGGGCCCAGACGGCGGGGGCGGCCACGGGGCGGCGACGGCGCCTACATGGCCGCCAGACCGACAGACAGGCCCCATCCCTTGGAACAGAAGTAAAACCCCGCAAGTGCATACAATGGTTGGGGAAAGGTTTTCTCTAACCCCAGATGGGGGGGCATTACGCACTAGAGTCCGGTTTTGCGGGGACAGGGTATCTATGCGGCGCAGGACTGCCCAGGACCCTTCAGGGGGTGCAGGAATACACAAGGCCCCACACGGCCCCACGCACCGACGACGGCGGCGACGTGAGGCAGGCAGGGCCATTGGGGGGAGCGTGAAGCAGAGGGGGAGGTGGGAGGTCCACGGCCCCAGGCGGGGGCGGCGGCGGCGACGGCGGCAAAATGCGACCTTCAGGGACAGTTGGAAGCCCGAAGCGCGGGGGGAATGCCCGCGCCACCCTCCCAGCCAATTCTTCAGACACCGAGTAGGAGACCCTCAACGCACGAATTGTCAGAATGAGCGGAGCAGTGGGAGAGAACGCGCGGGTGAGGATCAGAACGGGCACTGGGGATGTGCCCAAAGCAGAGTCTTCACGCTGCGACGCACCTGCTGTCGCACCGAAGCGGGGGAGTTATTGGTTGCATGCTGTGCGTGTTGTTTCGACGTGTGCCCGAGGAGCTTCGCGTGCGGGAGCAGAAGGTGGTGCTCGCGATGAACGAATCCAAGCAACGCATAGAGGACGCGGCGTTAAAGAAATATCATGTGGCGCCAGCATGTTATGTGTCGTTCGGTGCTGGTCTTGACGGCAAGCATGTGTGTCAATCCCCGTTGGCCACTAGTTAATCGGACTCCAGTGCAGGTGTTGTAATGAGGACCGCGCATGCGAGCGGAACCATAAAGCAGAGATGCGCTGAGCATGAGCATGTAAACAAAAGTGCAGAATAAACGGGAACATCTCTTTGTGATGCTTGCGATGTGGAGTCCGACAAGATCGCCGCCGTGCTCATGTTGTGGCTAGAGGATTTGGTTGCATAGCTGCCTAGTAGTATTCGGCATGGTTCCAGATACTGGAGGTGCTCGCAAGGTGGCGCGGCGCCCAGGCTAGGTGGCATTAGCGTTGAGATTGCATGCGTTTCAAGATTTATACCATATCCGCTGACCAGCACTGCGACTGGAACAGGCGAGGTGGGACTGACGATGAGGACGAAGAGCAGAAGGATGGGCAGGCCACCCAGGAGGGGGGGAGCAGGGGAAGAGCATGGGGGGGTGAGAGAAGAGGGAGGGAAGAAGAGGGAGGGGGAGGGAGAGGGGGCAGGACAACTAGCGCTCGCGTCATATCTGACGTCCTACCCCATCCCTCCCAGTCCTTTCCATGGCGTAGATATCTTTTCTATTCGCGCAGTCGGATGTCGAGCAAGACATTGATCCCGAGAGTGTACGCGATGCATGGGAGAGCACGGCACAGCATTGCGTGGAAGAGCACGGCAGAGCGGAACATGTTAGGGCATGGTGTGGCGTGGCGTGGTGAGTTGTGAACTGTTACATCACGAAGCATCGAAACGCAAAGCATGGCATCGAAGAGCAGCAGCACAGAGCTCAACGCCGCACTTCATGCCATGGCATGTCACTGGGTTCTTGGAGGGCAAGTGGATCGTCTGGGTGAGGTCCGGGCCTGCTAGAGCTGCCCACTCACCAATGACCCGCGCGGGTCACTGGTGACCCTTCTGCGTCCCCCCTGGCTCTCGTAAAAATAGCGAGTCGTTGGGGGTGTTCGTTTGGGCAGATATGTGGGTGCGCCGGAAGTTCGGAAATAAACGTAAAGATGAAGCGAGATCGCTGGTCTGGAAGGAACGACAACATTCGGATTGGAAGACGCAGAGACAAACACAGGTAGCGGATATCACGTGTGTAAATGACCATACGCGGAGGGGGAGCGAAAGTGTCGGATTCGAAAACCACATAAGAAGCACCAAATGATTGAATCCTGGGTGTGAAGAAACAATTCGCTGAGGGGGGCGGGCTGCTTTTTCATCAGCTTCGGGGGGAGAGAGGGAGGGGGAGTGGGGAGGAGGGGGAAGGGGAGGGGCAGGGAAGGGGAGGGGGAGGGAGGAGGAGGAGGTGAGAGAAGGGGGAGGAGAGGGAGGGGAAGCAGGGAGTAAGGCGGGAGGGCGCAGGAGCGGGAGCACGGCGCCGATCGCGGACCCCTCAACCTTTCCGACGACCTGATTTGATAATATATTCGTTATGTCTTCGAATTGTTCGATGTCCGATATGATTTTTTAAGATTCGATTATTGGTCATGTCCGACCATATGATTTTTGTTTCCACTTCGGCCAATGAGGCCCGTGAACGGGCCCAGGGACCACCAGAAATGGGTCCAGGACGAAAAGATGTCCCCAGAGAGAGGGTCAGGAAAATCACATCGTCAGATTCCTACCACCCTCGTCAAAATGAACCTCAAAAGTTGCTGGCACGTCATTTCGATTTCGGCGCGCCCTTCAATGTCGACACGCCGCCCCTTCAATGTCGGGGCGAGGGCAAATATAGTCTGACCGAAGTTGACTCGAAAGTTTGACGTCGACCGACATTGGAGGGGCGGCGCGTGCAAGTACCCCGCACTCATCGATACTCGGCCCCAGATCTTCCGACAAGCAGTTCAACCACGTCAGACATTTTTGAGGTTAATTTTGACGATGATTCCTAGGAAGGCGGGGGACTTCTTAGAAAAAATGCACCTATCCTAGACCCCGGATTGGATTGGCCAGGACCGCCGTGGGTGCACGCGGCGAGTTCGTGTCGTCTCGCCGTGGCGGCAGCCTGGCGCGGGCGCTCCAGGTTGATTGCCGCCGGTAGCCCAGCATCGACCGAGATCGTCACGGCTGCGAACGGCCTGCGCCATCGGGATCGCCAGAGAGGTCCAGCAATCCACGCGGCGTCCTAAACCGACGCCGACGTCCTCGCGCGACACGAGCCTGCCGCAGGCGTGCAGCCAGCTGGCCAGGACCACCCGAGCCAGTGAGCCCCGCCCATCCCCGCCCTCCGCCCCCGAAGCACAAGAGCCCCGGGTGGCGCAGCTCGGCATCGGGGCAGGGCGCGCGCGTATCCAGAGTTCGTAATAAAAGGGAGGGGGTCTGAACCCTCCAAGACAAGCCATTTCAGACCTCCCCCGTGGGAGAACCCTCCAAAACATCGTCCCCAGACCCCCCAGGCCCTCCAAGATAGCCTGGAAGAGACCCCCCCCCGAAATGAGACCCCCCTCCCTTTATTACGAAATCTGGAGTACTGAGTATTGTTGGACCGATGCCCATCCCCAGCGGCGTGGCCTGGGCCCCACTGGCCGAGTTGCGCCCTAGATGGGGACACGGGTCGTTCCCTGCGGGTTCCGAGGGGCGCATCCCCAACCGGGGTGGTAATTTGGCTGGGGTCTCGCAGGGGATGGAGATGGGGATGGGGATCGGTGAAACGATACCGACGTACCCCCCCCCCCCAGCGAAGGCGGGAGGAGGAGGACGAGGAGGAGGAGGAGGAGGAGGAGGAGGAGGAGGAATGCTCGCGCAAAATCTGCGCGGCGCTCCTGGGCGAGAGCCACACCTCGCTCGCTCCCGCGGCGGCCCCGCTGCCGCGGCCGCTTCTTCCCGCGACTCGGCGGCCGACGAGCGTGCGCCGCGCCAGCGCGGGGGCGCCATTCCCAGGCGAAGCTTGCACACGGCTTTGGCCGAGGGCGGCAGTTCGCCCGCGCGAGGCATTCGGGCGGCTTCGTCGGTTCTCGTCGGCTTTCCCGCCTCGGGGTGCCCTCCAGCGGCTGCGCTTCGCCGAGAGCGTCCCAGGGGTGCCCAGATCGTCCCGAACGGCCGCCGGAGACCCGAATTATGACCCGAAAGCCAGACGACGAGGAACACTGAAGGGGGGGTTCAGGGAGGGGAGGCATCGACCCCCACGCGCGGCCCCTCCCCCAACGACATTGGCGAGTGAAAAAAGATGCGGCGGACCCAATCAAGCTGGAGCGCCACTTTCAGGCGAAATCTGCACGGCGCCGATGCGAAAGCGGCACATCGCCCTTTCGCGTGCAATTGCGTCTCGCCCCATTCCCGCCACGCATGTCGCACAGTCGACGACAAAACGTCCATGCTGAGAGGACACGTCGACTTTGAACTGTCGCTCAAAACAGGTAGGATGGAACCACCTGGATGGGCTGGGCCAGGTGGCAGAGTGCGAGTATATCTTCACTCGAGAGAAGGATTGGCGCCCTCCGATCCCCATCCTTCTCCCCGCTTCCAGACTGAGCCGGAGCAGGTGGAGTCGGCCGCATCGCCGAAGCATCGGCGGTACGGCACGATCTGGAGCCCGCGCGCTGCGCGGTCCTCAGTGACAGCACCGCGTGGCGAGTCAGTGGGGACTCAGGGTGACCGAACGGCTTTGGGGCTTGGATCGTTCTCCGAGGGCGTCTCGGGCGACCGGGACCTCCGAGGTCCCAAAACCGCATGGCGACAGGCCGTGCGGTGAGGCGCCGGGGGGAACACGAGGTCACCCCGCGGGCCGTCCCCGCGCCGTTGCGCGAGGCCTCCACGGCTTCGTCGGGAGACCGACTGTCGAGTGGATTCCCTGCGGCCTGTTCGGGGGCGGGGCCTCCAGCACGCGGGCCCCTCCTCGCGGCGGGCCGTCCAGGGCCGGAGGGGCCGCCGCGGAGCGCGGCCTCCTCTCTTTCGTCACCCACCCTCGGGTCTCCTGCCCCCTCCCGCGGGTTCTTAGAGGCCTCGCCCTGACATACTTCTTTCTCTTGCCTCGCGGCGCGGCAGAGGCGAGCCGCTCGCGGGTCCAAGCAACCCGGGCTACTTCACTGCGACTTGTCCCGCTTGCAAGAGGGGGGGGGACGAAGAGAGCCGGCCGCAGAGACAGGAGGCGGGAAAGAAGGCACACTCGCGCGGCGAGGACGCGGGGGGCGCGCAGGATGTAACTTGACGTACGGCGCATCGAAAAATCGAGGCGCCAGGCTTCTTTCCCCCTCTATCAAGAAAGATGCGCCGGATTTGTGGGCATGGGGCATGAAACCTTCTAGAGGATTTCAGCAGTCTCTGAGGCCTCTTCATGACCCCTGCTGCCGCCGCCTTTTTCCAGGACGAATGTAGGGACGACCTCTGCGGCGGAGTGGTGTCGACTCAGCGACGACCCAAACGCGGGCGATCAAGATTGAACGCCGCCAGTGGTTCAGAATCGGCCCATATCGAACGATTTGCACTATCGGACAGCCGTGACCCGTCAAAATTGAACGATCCACACGGTGTCACAATCCAACGCTGGCGTCGTCACGACACGAACCTACCGCACACCCAGGACATTTGAGATCGTGATTTTATTTCAGGGTGGTTACCCAGAGGTCTGGACCTCTTCTGGGGGATCGGCGTCTCACCCTGAGTCTTTCTGTTGACGGCCCCAGGGCCCAGTGAGGGCCCAGGCCCGAAACTGCCCCTCGAAGCAAAAATCAAAAACGTTGCGAATCATTCGTGACGCGAGCATGTCAGGGACTGCTTCCAGCGAGCTTCGGATGTCCGACCCCTGCCATCTGACTGGGCCAGCGCGTCACCGAGAAAGGTCTCAACGGGCGTCAGGAAGGAGTGCCTGCCTGTGGCTAGAGAACCCCCCGTGGTGCTGGGACCCCGCGCGAGGGGCGATAGTCTGAAACAAGAGCGGAGCTTCCCCAGGCTGGAAGCGTCGTCGTTGTCGTCGTCGCCGTCGTCGCCGCC